AGCCTCGCGCCCGGCTCTTCCGCGCAGCGTCCCCGCTCGCGGCTCGTCCGGCAGGCGAGGAAGCCGGGCGGGCGCTCTGCATCGACGGCGAGGACGCGGGAGGCAGACCGAGGAGCAGCCGAGCCAGCGCGGACAACGGGGCGCCCCGCCCAGGTCAGTAGCGGCTCCGTTCCCGGGTCCGGCCCGGCTAGGAAGGTGGCGGCGGCGGAGTCCCGGCCGGCTGCGCTCGCTCCTCTGTCCCGGACGCCTTTGGCTGCGGCGGCCGGAGCTCTGTCCGCGGGGCCTGCGGAACTCCGCGCCACCGCTCGCAACGCTGGACTCCGGGGCTGGGAAAGGCTGCGGGGCGGCGGCAGCCATGGAAGCCTCCTCGGGCTTCCCGCTTGGGTCTCCCTCCCGGCGGGCCTCGGAGGGGCGGCGGTGGGCGCAGCCGCGCAACTTAGCCCCAGTTGCTTAGAGGTCGGCAGGTCTGTACCCCCTCCACCCCCGGTTGGGTTTTGGCCGCCGGTTGTCGCCTGGGGGCAGTGAGGGCGCAGCGGAGCAGGTGGCGGGCGAGGGGCGGGGGAGGCGGGGAGCCTTCGGAAGAAAGTTTTTCCTCAGCCGGGAAGGGAGGGGAGGGAGGCGGCAGGCGATCCAGACCGAAATCTCTCCTCTCAAAGGCGCCGAGGCTCCCGTTGGGTCGGCCGGCTTGCTGGGGCTGGGGTGTCTCACTCCGTTCCCAGTCCTGACCCTCGTTTCGATGCCCACCGGGTGGGCTCCGCGCGGACCATGGGAAAACCCTCGGGGGGCTCAGTTCCGCGTGGCCGGTCGCTTCGGCCCGTCTCGGCCTCCGGGTAAGAGTTGGCCTCGCTTGTCCGAATTCGGGGCCTGGGGGGGGGGTCAGACGGGTTTCCCTAAAGTCATCAAGGCGCCCTTAAGCAGCCGCTCTTGGGGTTGGGGAGCTCGAGCTTCCCTCGGAGCAGGGAGGGGTTCCCGCATCCGTCTGGTCGGCCGATGCAGGCTGCGTGACCTGCCGATGAAGCGCCGGGATGCCTTCCCTTAAAGTTTGCCCGGTGACGATCTAGCTAATTCTAGCAGATGCAACCGGCTAAGTTGTTTAAGTGCTGAATGGGGTTGTGTTATTTTTCTAGCTTAGCCTATTGTGTGAACCGGGGCTGGTTGTCCATTAATGTAGCTCAATATAGTGCAGAAACTTAGAAAGTGGGTTGACGCGATAACCAGGTAAGGCTTGTCTGAATGCAGGCAATTAATCATTGATTTAAATGAGATGTGGGAAGAATTGACTCGGCTTCCTTTGCTAAGGGGCCAGACAGGGATGGGGGTTGCAACCAGTTGATGTCAGGAGTTTGTCGAGACGTTAATGCTGGTCTGCTCCATTGGCCTTACTCCCGAGGAAGCCCACTGCATTGCTTCAGAAATCCAAGGATGATTATGCACAGACTTACTGTTGTTTCCGTGATCTAATTTTTCACTCAGCCTTTTGAATCGGAAGCTGCCTCTCCCGGCTCCACTTGTTGAAGGCGATGCTTGGCCTGGATGGGTGCAGTGTTTTAATCAGCCTCCTGTTTTTCCTGCAGGGCACTTTATGAAAAGTGCATTCCAAATGCCAAGACTAATGCCCAGCTGGGCATGTGCCAGTGGGAAGTGCCGCCTTGCCAACTTTTGTGAAATTGATTAGCAACAGGGTGGGTGTTTTTGTTTAAGTGCCACTCAGTTGCCTCCCTGCTCTTTCCTTCATTGGACGTTATGCTGAGAGGCCTTTTGCAGAAACGCAGCCTCATCACACCCCATTTTATCCTTTTCTGTTGTGTACACCCAGCCCATATTTAATGTCACTCAACTTTTCATGTAAGTCCCAGAAAACGAGGCCATTTCATTAAACAGTGATTCAGTTAACTCTGTGTTTCTCAATCCCGGCAACTTTTAAGATGTGTGGATTT